AATTAGCAATTTTATAAGATAGTATTATTAGAACCAGAATAGTTTTATTATTATAATGAGCTATAATTTGTAAAAATTAAATTAATAGTTATTAAGTAATTAATATTTATTTATATTTAACTATATTTAACTATGTTTAACTATATTTAGCTATAATTAGCTATATTTGATAATATTTAGCTATATTTAATAATATTTAGCAATCTTTAATAATATTTACTTACATTTAACAATATTTAGAAAAAGATATATAAATCTTGCTTTTTTTTCCTTCTGTAGAATTAGATTTGTCTTCTACAATCATCTTAATATTAGAATTCTCTTAGTATAGATACTAATAGATAGTTTTGTATTATTGATATTATATTATAAATAAAGAATACTCTTTGCTTTAATATAATCTTTCTAATAAATCACTTTTGCAAAGTAATATTCTGCTTTAATCATGTAATAGGTTTGAAATTCAAATCCTACTATTGACAAATTTGAATAATATCTAGACCTATGTACTAAACTTATAGAAAACTCTACTTGTTTCCAAAAAAAGAGTCTTAGAGAATATAACAAAACTCTGTAAAAAATAGTATTGCACTATGTCAATTGAACATTAGGAATATAATGGTAATATTATATGAATAAATTTGTATTAGATATATGAGCAGAAGATCTGCATAGTAAAGATCCTAAATTAGTGAAGTAGTATAGCTTTTAACAGTTACACTAGCTAATGCTTAATTTAGAAAGAAACTGTTTCAAAGGATATAGATTAGAATAGGTATGAGTAAGTCTGTATTTATAGTAAAGATCAATAGCACTAATCTAGCTTGGTAGCTAACTAGATTTGAGAGAATCTATTTTATAAAATATCTAGAGAAATTGATTAACATATACTAGTAGAGAGCTATAATAGGAACAGGGTTATATGAATATCTATAAGAGTCTAAGCTAGATGAGTCTGTAAAATAGATACAGGCTACTCTATTAAGTTTGCTTTAAGATTAACTGAAGCTCTACATACTCATAATACATTGAGTATATGTATCCTGAAAGGATCTAAGCTAAAGTTAGTAAATAGATTTGCAATAAGCTAGCTAGCTTAAGCAGTTAGATATTATAGTGACATTAGTTTGTAATAGTATTAGTTAGTTAAATAGAGTGTTTAAATAGGTAACTCACAGGTAGGTTACAAGTATGGTAGCATAGTGTAGAACTAATCAGGTAGTCTAATTGCCTGTGCAGCAAACTACTTAAAATAGACAATGACTAAAGTTGTATGTGTGGCTTGCTATATACTCTTCATGTAATTACAAACTATAAAGGAACCCTATATAGAATCTTATATATCAAACTAATAAAATCTACTCAGCAATGTAAACTACCTTAAAAATAAAAAAATAAAAAATAGAATTTACATATAAAAAGACTGTTAAAAAATACAACTTTATCTATAAATTACATACTATTTTCTAGTTATTTTACATATATTTTCTAGTTACTTTTACATATATTTTTTTATAATTTTCTATATTAAAATTTTTTATAAAAGAAGCTTTCACTAATTCTGAAATCTGCTATTTAATTTATTACTAGAAATAGATTAGTTAAAGCACTTTATATTCTGAGAAGAGCTAGATACAGAAATAATAGAAAAAAAAACATATTAGATATAGTACTTAAATCTATAAATCTGTAATATTATATAATATATAACTAGCTAGTATTAATAATAAAATACATCTACTTGGCGTTCTAGAATAGCATCTAAAGAATTTTTTAAAAAAAATGTTAATGTTTATATCTGTTAATTCAACTAGCCTTTCTTATAACAATAAATTTTTACTATGATATACTTTAATATAAAAATATTTTTTTGGCTTTTATTCTTTGAAATATCTTATAAAAATAACATATTAAAATTATTAATCAACTTGTAAGTTATATAATATTTTCTACCTTTGACATGTTAACTCTAGGTGGTAAAGCCGCTTACATGATTATGTTCTAGTTAGTATATATATAACATAATTTTATACTACATAAAATAATAGAGGTTAGATAATTGTTGATTTGTATTTAGAGATTCAAATTTAGCTTTAAATAGTGATGTTATTTATATATAATTTACTCTATTTCTACTAATAATTCATTATGACATGCATCTGCTTGTAGATAAAAATTTGAACAGTAAAAAAAATACTGTTTTATACTTTGTTTTACAATTCCAAAATCGTTATATCTTTTAGTAACGAATCTTTGTTAATATCATATTTTTTTTCAAATTACTGTAGCTTGTAGCTTTATATTCAATTTTAAAGTCTTGAGCTTAAGCGATTTTTAGAACTAATACTTCATTAGTAGATCTGTAGTCAGGTTATTATCAACTTAACTATTTAACTCAGCTTAGCTCAAGCTATTTGCATCACTACTCTAACAATACTATATTTAGATATCTTATATATATATTTTTTTTGTTTTTTTGTTTTTTTCAAGCTGAATAATTCTGCATAATACAGGCAGTTTTTAGAAAATTTGAACTTTGTCCTAGCCTTGTTGTCTAAAGTTCTAGTCTAAAGATTTTACTAAAAAAAAAATTTATATTAAGAGTTAAGTATTTGCTATTGTTTTAGGGTTTAAAAAGTAATTATAATAACAATTTTGTGAGAAAAATTTTTTAATAGCAAAGCAGTTTTATGTAAAATCTTAATGATTTCGAGTTACACCTAAACTTTGAAATTTAAATGACTAGTGAAATTTTTTAGCATTAGAGTTGTAAACTACTAACTGATTACAAATCACAAATTAAAAACCTCACACCCAGCTTGTCAACTCATGCTTCGAATAAATCGATTTATCATAATCCGAATTGTGTAATTTTTGAATGTGATTATTGAGAACATATATACTTGCCGATTGACTAAATAATCACTCTATCAGTATATTAATTTAAATAATCAGTTTTTTTTCGTCCATATGTTTCGGTTTCAAACGTTAATAAACTAGAATGCTGTATATTTGATCTTAGGTTTCAAACGCTAATATATATTTGGGGGTAAAATCAAGCAAATTGTTTTTATTGAAATTTTTTTGAAACTTTAACCAACAATAACTTAACAATAACTTAATCAAATTTAATAAAATTTTTTTTAAATGAATTCTATAAACTTTAGCATTTATTTTAAAAAAAATTTTTATTAAATTTGATAAAGCTTTTTGTTGAAATATTTTTGTTTAAAGTTTCAAAAAAATTTACTTAGAAAAAATTTGCTTGATTTCTATTGACTCAACCCTATTTGATCACGATTTGAGTACTCTTCCGTACTCTTTCGAGTTTAGTTCATGAATCTACGAGTTGATAAGCCAATAAGTAATTAAATGATGTGATTGAATCATAATGACGAAATTATGAGTTCACCTTTATATTCCGAAATTAACAAATTTTTTTTAAGATTTCAATTGCCCTTTAAATCATGCACTTCCGAGGAAAACACAGACACGAAAAGAAACTTGCCCGTCTTCGTATGAAACGTCGCAAATGTTTCACTCGTATACGAAAAAAATCGAAAAGTCAAGAGTGTATCAAGGTATCAAGAGTTAGAGGAAACATGAGACAGTAAACGCATTTTATATGAAAATATAAAGGTTGTTTAGATAAGTGTTACTCTTATTGGAATCGTTTATCTCATCGCTAACAATTTAATATTGCTTTCTTTATAGAAGTATTATGTGGTTTTTATAATGATTTAAAGATTATGTTTATACATATGCATAGTTAATGAACGTAAGAATATACTGGTGAAACTTCTATGAAAATAAATAAATAAATGTAGAAACGTGAATCCTATATATAATATATTTGTCTTGTGTATTTTCAATACTATAAGGAAGAATGTTAACAAATTCCGAAATGTAAAATCTGTTCTAATGCGATTTACAAATTTCCTGGCAATAAATTGAGATACTAATGTAATGCAGGCCGATTGATTTGATTTTGTGAACATTAGCTGTTAGATTTACACATGATATCAGCCAATCAAATCACATAATTTGAGTTCGTTATTCGTTTACTACTATAGAAACGAAAAACTCAAAAAACAAAAAAATTGCATGAATTAGCGAACACACATGAATTATATTGAAATATACGCACAGTAAATTGATAGATAGATACATATATGGTAGAAAAAGTGGCGTTCACTATTAAACAAACCCGAATACTAAACCTACTATCTGTAAACCCAAATTCATATCTATAATCAATAAACCAAAATACACTTTAACAAACTAAATTTTAAAGAATATTTTAAGTATAAACCCAAATCTCTCATGTTAATAAGCTTGTGTCTTGTCTTAATTACCTAACTCGAAATCTAAATCTTTTTTTTTAAAAAAAAAATAGACACTATTTTTGTTAGTAGTTATTTTTGTTTTGGTGCGTGTTAAATTTAGACGAGGCTTCTTTCCTTTACCTTCTTCAGAATGTCGTGTCTAAGCTAACTCCTCTGAATTTTATGATTATAAATGATTAATTTTAGAGTTAGTCTAACACTCTTTTAAAACTAAAAATAACGATTTTTTTGCTTGTATTCCCAAAAAGTACTTTAAAGTGTATAAATAAGTTACCCGGGCAATTGATTTATATCAGCTAATCAGACAAACTTCTGACTATGATGTCGCGTAGGGTTGTTAAAAGTCCGATCCTATCGGTCCAGACTCCATAAATAGGGACTTTGATTAGGACTCGGTCCTTGAGTCGATCGATAAAGTTACCAGAGTATTGCTATAACAAATAATCGATGTAAATTAAACCAAATGACAATTTCCAAGAACAAAAGACATAAATGCAGCCGGAATCAAGTCTGCATTATGATAACACTAATTACTACCGCTATATTGATTCTCGATAAAGCTGGATCGTTGTAAATTAACCAATCACAAGAATAGAGATTAGTATTTTCTACATCTAGGACTTTGTCCGAAACAGGTTTGAGTCAGTCCGAGTCCTACGAGTTTTTTAACAACCTAATGTCGCGGATTATAAATTTGTACTTATTTTTTTTTTAATATGAAAGTTTAAACATTTTGTATAAGCAGGATTTATATTTCAAAATAGATCCTAAATTCACCATAGTCCGTTAGATTTTTGATTGAATTTTAAATTAGCTCGTAAACCATCTAATTTATAAAATCCGAATAATTTTTAACTATAACAAATAGAAGATATGAAAAAAGCTTTTTTTTATTTTTTTATTTTTTTTATCAACTTTACTTTTGACTTTTTATTTTTACAAAAGTTTTTTAAAATATAGCATTTACAATAATAAACTTTTATTGATTATTTGAATTCAATTATTTCAATAACTTTTTAAAATTGTTAAGTAGATATCATAAAAATTCTAATAATTTTTTTATAAACTAGTAAAACAGTGGCGTTTATAGGCTGGAGCCTTAAGTATTAGTTCTTAAATTTTGGAAATGACTTAAATTTTACGATTTTACTATCGTTAGTATGTTCAACAGATTTAGAGGTTAATAAATTTTCATGTAAAGAACTTCTTGCTTTCTACTATACATTTTATCTTACATGAAATTTATTCTTTTACATAACTATCTATTTTTGTTCTAATATATAAATTTTTTTATTTGTTTCTCCTACAATCAATGTAAATCAAAGTATCTGAAAGGTAACTATTGCGCATAACTTAATTAATAATATGATTGATTACGTTCTTATGACAAATATTTAATTGATTACGTTCTTGATGACAAATATTTAATTGATTACGTTCTTGATGACGAATATTTAATTGATTACGTTCTTGATGACAAATATTTAATTGATTACGTTCTTGATGACAATATTTAATTTGAGCAAAATTAGTTTTAATATTTGTCAATAAACAAAGAGCCATCTAAAACCAAGATTTTGATATCAACAATTGAACCAAATTTAGGTTCAATTTTTAGATTCGGACATTATTAAAATTCAATAGAGCAAGGCTTGAAAGGCTTTCGCTTCGCTCCCTCAGCTCCAGCCAATTATTATATAATAATAATACCGTAGAAAATAAATTACAGAATAGAAAATTGAATAAATTAATTACAGAATAGAAAATTTGATAAATTAATTACAGAATAGATTTGGATACGTAATTATTGGTTAGAAAAAGCTTAAGATTTTACCAAATTTATTTAAATTAGCATTACGGTAATTTATAATAGAATTTAGTAGATAAAAAAAAAAAAAAAATTTGCTAAAATTCGAAAATTCATATGCTAAATTTTTTTTTTAAAACATGATTTGCATAATCATTTCACATAGTTTTGCGAGCAATAAAATCAACTGCATAATTTGAACTATTCGCATCGCATAATTGGACCTTTTATCTCGCATAATTCTGAGGTCCTTAACCTGCGTACACCTTTTGAAAAAAGCTTTAAAATTCAAGGCGAATTTCCTTGAATTTGAAACTGTTTAAGAGATAAAAAAAAAAAAAAAAAAAAAATTTAAATTTTTAATTTAATAAACTATTTAGTAAGCAAATTTGCTCTACAAAGAGATAATAGTCATTAACAACTCTAGGTAATGTGCGACAGTTTCATAAGTGTCATAAGCGGTGCGAACGTATCTCTAACTGGTGAAAAATGTAGATTTCCGATACAATGTAGTGAATGCAATAATTGATTAAGCATTTTTTCTTCACACGCGTAATGTTCACCATTGGAACTAAACTTGTGTATAAATGCGTAGACCTATAATATACGTGTTTATGACGTGATTCAATGAAAATAATATTATTTATTAAACACAAAAAATTTTATTTATCTAACACAAATTCAACAAAATAATTTCCTTTTTAATAAAATACTTTTTCACCGATACAGTTTACGTAACGCTAAATGCACATAAACATAACGGTAACGATAACTTAACATCAATGTGATTAAATTCATATATTGTAAGTGAACGAGTTTTAGATTTTACACAGATGATGCAAAAATGACAGGTTGTCAATATTTTACAGATTTATTTATTAGGATGCATACTAATACAATACTGAACAGTCACAGGTGAAACATTATGATCTTTAAATATACCAAATTTCTCATCATTGCGTTTTGAACGTTCAATTTATTATTGAATAGTATGTTATATAAAACCAAATATTTTTTTTACGCAATCACATAAATCACTTTTCCAAGTAAATAGATCGCTAACTCACCATAGTAGTCAATGAAGACGTTTAATTTTATAATTCATTCAAGCAAGTTTTAAGCCCAAATCAATCACGCCATTTTGAGTTTAGGTGACAAGCCCATTAAAATTAGAACTAATCCTAATAATTCATATAAACTCCAATTATGTAATTTATTGACGCACATAAAGTCCAATCATCTCTTCGTTATTATTTTAATAAAATTCTTCATTCGTTCATTTCTATTTTTAAAGGGGCTGCATTTTGATTTGAGTGAAAGCATATATGCACATTTAAAATAAGAACAATTTCCAATCACTTTAATTATGACGACATTCCTTAAATGATCGCATGAAACCACAAAAAAAAAAAAAAAAGGATACCTTAAAAAACGCCTGCGTTATTTTTATTTCATTTGAAGAATATTTGTATTTTGTTTCAAAATGTATATATGGATATCAACAAACAAGCTCGTAACATCAAACTTTGTAGATATAATTCGTCGTATATAAATGCAAATTACTTGCTTAAATTGTTAAAACAAGAATTTAGGCCTTAAATTATAAAATTTTCACAATAGAACAACGCATCTGTTTCACAGTGTAAATAAAGATCTTTTCTCTGTAGAATTCGAAAGTACGTACCTAAATAATCATATACTCAATGAACTGTGGGAGTTATTTACTTTGATCAACGTTTCATAACCTTTTGAAATTTACAATTGAACTCCCTTTTTAGTGAATTACAAAACAAAGGATCGATAATCCAATATTTTTTTTTTTTTTGTTTTTTTTTTTTTTGCAATTTCTCATACGTTACTGCAAGTCAAAATAGTTAGCGTCGGAAAAACTTGAAATAAAAATTTTGACTCTAATGTACGTGTAACAAACCTCCTCTTGTTCTTTTGCACAAATGTTATAACGAATTAAAAATCATGTGCCCAATTTACAATTACCAATGCAGGGCATAGATTTTCATGCATTAAAATTACTTTAAATTTGTTAATACGCGGCTTCTTAAAAATTTTTGTAACGTAAATCGTTCAACATTGTTCAATGGTATATTAAGTCCTATTATACTTTAATCAAGTTTCATTAAAAATTTTGACCAGTTAAAATTTGTAGGAAAAATTTTTCTTATCGATCTTGCAAAACTTAAAATCATACTTTAGTATAAATTAATTTTGTTTGTGTCTCCCGAAATAATGGATTTGTTTTATTTGTTATTTGTATCCTGGATTCAATCAATCGGTTTCATTATGTACAGTGCAGGTTCGGCAAACATTATGAATCTTAATTAACGTAACTTTTTTTTTTTTTTAAACAAAAACTATTAGTCATTAATAATATTTGTTAATATTAACAATTATTGTTTAAAAAACATTTTCAACTTACAAAATATTGGTTAAGATAGTATAATTAACATGTAAACAAATTATTATATGTGGATTTTTATGCATATAAAATGTATTAAGAATATTTAACTACATAAGTTATAATTGAATTATAATAAGAATTTATTAATTATTTTACTTTCAAAATAATAATAATTACTATCGCTATGCTAATTATTATAGTTTATTTACAGTATAATATAAAATTTGTTTTATATCATAATGCTAATATGTGATCGTATAGGTATCCTTCTATCCGTTCAAGATAAAGCAGAGTGTTATCTGCCCGTAACAAACTAGATAATCCTGATAGGGAATTATTATGCAGTCAATTTTCGGTTATGGATTTTCAATTCGGATTATCCAATGTTCAGATAAAAAGTTTTCACCTAAATACGTAGGTAGGCGAAGTATGTACAACTGCCTCCAAAAGTGTATCACCGTTACATTAATTTTATACTTCCGTACAAACGTATGTACGTACTACATAGACTCCAAAGTTAAAAAAAAAAAAGTATAATACTAATTTGATGAAAGTTATGTTTTATCTTTATTACGTATCAATAAATTATCAATGCAAGTATCAAATTTAGTGATTAATTGTAGTTATAATTAACTAATTTAAACTTATTGTCATTTCATTACGCCAAATTTGAACAGTGTTATGTTTTTTTTTGTATAATGGTTTTCGTGTAACCGCATGCGGTGTACAGATGTACGTACGTACGTACTGTGGAAACTATTCACATTTTACGTTATGTAAATCCATGGGACTTACCAAGCACGCGCTCCCATCTGCGTCAATTAAAAATAAAAAAAAATGTTAAGATACGCGTAATCATATTATTATTCCACATCAATGAAAGTTAACAAACTCAAAAAAAAAAAACTCTCGACTTTCCTATAAGAGCCAAAAAGAATTTTTGAATGGGCCAATCATGAATTAATTTTTAAATCATTTTGTAAATAGATTTTCATGTCAATTTAGATTTGGAAATCAATCGAATTTTAGAAATTATTAAATTTCTTTTATTGTAATACTTCTTCTAACTACAAGTGGACTTAAATGTTAAGATCATTGAGTTCTTGACAACCTTTCTTAGTAATTGTTAATTACATTGATATTAATTAGTTAAAAAATGGTATAAAAAATCTCCGCTAACGTGTTACGACTCTGTGCTTATTTTATTTGCAATAAGAAAATATTTTAATAACTGTAATAGTCGGTCAACCCTACTCAATTGTGTTATGTCAAGGGCTTCATAAATTGTCAGCCCATGAATGTATGAATAAATATTAGTAACTCCATTCATTAATTGATTGATGCTCAACGTACGCAGATATTATTTTCTTTATTATATAGTACAACATCTCAACCTTCTAAACTTTTGAATGCTTCTATTATATACGAACCTACCTTTATAGTATAGTAATAGGGTCGTGTCAAAGTATTACCTTTTTGGGTCAAAAGTAATGTTAAGGCAAAACGTAACACCGAGAACGTGTTCCAAAAAAAATATATACGCCCTGTCATATGAAATCATCCGAAAAAAAAGTTAATGAAGCATGGAAAGGAAGGACAATAACCACTTATCTGGAATTATTTGGATGCTTTACAGCTTTTAGGCAGACTTTAATTTCTCATGTAAATGTAAAAATAATAATAACTCAACCCGAAATTATCTAACAAATAACGCGGTAACGTACCATGAAAAAGAATTTAATTCAAATATTGAATCAAAAAATAATATTAATGAAATCCGTTTCGTATAATAGATTTCTAAATATATTAATAAAATGTTTTTTTTACATAGCTAAAAAAAAATCTTTTCACTTATATAATATCAGTGGATTTTGAAGATTTACCCGAGGTATATAGTACGTCATGAAAAAATAGTGGGGAGATTGGTTAGACGTTTACTATGTGATTTGCAATAGGAATGATCAAAAATAAATAACACATGACGCACTATTATACTACGGGTTTCACTAGCTCGCAACTCAGGTTTCACCCTGTCGTATATCGTAAAAATTATCACTGGTATTTTTTTACTAGATAATATATTATTAAATCTGGTAATTATATTAAATATTGTCTATTACCCAGTAATTAAGTAAAGATTTGTACTATATTTTACAATATATTAAAATATTTCCTAGTAAAAAATATAATTTTTTTGACTAGTGTATGGTAAGTACGTAGTCTCAATGACGAGATCTGTCAGTCAGATTAGCAGTTAGAAGATCATGTGTAACGTGAAATCACGCTTTTGAAAATCCCAGGGATGAGCAAAGTAATTTATTAAGTAATAATTACTTATTA